AAACACAGGAAGACGTGCCATGGGAAAAGCAGAGCGAGGCTGTGGGAGCACACAGTGGGGAATGCCAGACACCCCAGACTTTCCCCGGCTGGGTCTCACTACCCTGGATTGGCTGTCTCTTAGTCAGTCTCCCTGATTTTGGTATTTTAATTTTATCTGCACCCTGAGTACCTCGGCACAGTGCCTGGTGTGCAGCAGACATCATTCCCATGGGTGCACACTTCTGAACCTTTGCATATGCTATTCCCTCAGCATCAATGCTCTTCCCCTTCTCGGCTCCTCTCCACTCACTCATCCCATCTTGGCCTCGCTGACTCTCATTCCTACAGCTCAGTTTAAACGTCCTGTCCTCCAGGAGGATGTCCCTCACCCTTTGGTTTGGGTTTGGTCTCCTTGCTCTGTGGTTCCACGGCATCCCTCACCTAACATTCTCCTCAGCTCATTTTGAAGGGTACTCCTTACTCCTCCTGCTGCTTGTCTTCAGGTCTGTGGAGGAAGGGACCATGTCTGTCTTGCTCAATATCCCCAGGAATTTGCATCGTATCTGACACATAGTAGGTGCTCAATCTGTCGAACGAATAAATGAACACATGAAGAAACTATGGGACTTGGAACTCAAAGGAGAACTTGAAGCATTGTAAAATATTCAAATTTCTGTCACTCCACTTAACTCAATGTATGACCTTGAGACTTGATATATGACCTCTCTGAGCCTCTGTTTACTCACCTATAGGATAAGACAGTGATATGCATTTGCAGGGTTCTTGGAAAGGTAAGTGTGAGAATCAGTGTGAAAAGGCCTGACACCTAGAAGTTATTCGCTGAATGCTTGCCAAATCTGTGGATGAGACGTAAATAGCCTTGGTGTAATATCCTTATTCAGAAAGCTCATAACTGGGGTCAAGGCACGGTGGTGGTAAGGATGAAGGCTCTTAAGCTGGGCAGCTGGATTAGACTCCCAGCTCTGCCACTCACTGACTGGGCAACCTTAGGCCAGACACTTAAAAAAAAAATTATGTGACTCAGTTTCTTCATCTGTAAAATGGGAATAATGATGGGATTCAGCTTAGATCAGCAATGACAACATTAGCTGACAACATTAGCTGTTGTCATTGCTACTAACATGTAATACTAACAACCACATCGTAAAGCTCCTACCCGTGGTCCTCCTTGACAGATGAAGAGAGATCTCCAGAGAAGTTAAGTGACTGCACAAGGTCAAACAATGAGGAAATGTCAGCCCTGGGCTTCAAGGCCAAGTTTGCTGCTCCCAAATCTCATGTTATTTCCACTGCCTCAAAGAAGGGAGCTCAAAATAGGCCTGTGGCATTTTAGCTAATTTCCTCTAAGCCCTTACCAAGTAACCAACCGCGGGCACACAATGCTGCTCCCCTAACAGCATCCATTCAGCAGCTGCTAAGTATGTGTGCCTGGTGGATTCAGACCATCCGATGGGGCTTGCAGCAAGCCAGCTCTTCCCAGGTGGCCTTGCTTGGTCTGCAGAAGAAACCTAAGGAGCAGAGCTAGGTCGGGAAGGGGGAAGGGGAGTGGTACTTGAGTTAGATGGAAGAAGAAGCTGGAGACCAATCTGGACATAAATGTGGGGCGGAGGAGAAAGAGGAAACCCATATTTATTGAGTACCTACTATGTGCCGGGTACTTCACCTGTCTTATACCATTTAATCTTCACTATAATCACTCGGTCATTTTTTTATCAAGCACCTACTATGTATCAAGCCCTGCACTAAGTCCCAAAGGTATAATTGTGAATAAGACACAGCTATTGACTTCAAAGGGCTCAAAAGCCAGTGGGAGAGATGACCCATGCACACTGAAGTGCTACAAATGGGGTGGCAGAGGCTGAGCAGGGTGGCAGCAGGAAAAAGCAGAGAGTGGCTGGGAATAACTTCAGAAAAAAAGAGGCAGGTGCTAATGTGCCCATTTTACACATTGTGAAACTGAGGCTCTAGGGAATGAATTTGTGTGTAGTCACGCAGTTTCTAAGAGCCAAGCTGTGCCCTCAGGAGTGTTCTGTCTCCAGAAGTCTCTTCCTCTCCATGCTGGCAGCCTGGAAGCTTTTACCTACCTCCCCAACTTCCTTTCCTTTTCTCAATTATTATACGGCCAGAAGATGAGCCAAATGCTGCGAAAGCTGCAGCCGCTGCTAGTGGCTAAGATGTTAGCAGCTTCTGTGGACAAACAGAAGCTTCTGAGCCTCTGTTACTGCTTTTGTTTGGGCAAAAGATTCAGGGGTTGGTGTGAAAGGGGTGGGGAGATGGTAAGAGGTCTTGATCTCCAGTCTTAAGGGACTTCCAGGACAGGTCAAAGGCAACCAAGGTGACCAGAGTGAAGTGAGGGCAAGCTTCTCAAGCGCAGCTTAAGGCTTAGCCCATCTAAGAGGGCTTCCTGCTTGCGCCTCACTTTTTCCTCAAGGACAGGAGCCCAGAAAATCACCCACCTGAATCACTAGCTGAACTTGCTAGGTTCTCCGATAGGTAGGATCCACAGGTCTGTTCCTCCCTCATCCCCATTTCCATTCCCATCCTTACAGGACAAGAAACCAACCTGGAGAATCTCTCAGTCTGCATATGTAGCTCCTCCTATACCCTAAAGCTACCTTACCAGAGGTTGCTGAAATCTTTTTTCTGCTCTCCAGACACCAGGACCCTCTCCAGGTGCCATTAGCACTGTATTCTCCCCATATAGGAGTCTTTTCCTTCTGAGAAGGGAACAGAGAGTGAGAGAAGGAAGTTTTACACGGGGCGGAGAAACAGGTAGTTTTTCTACACTAAGAAGAATGCACTGGCCATGCCTGCAGACTGACTCTGAGCTGAGAGAAAGAAGTTAGGCAAAACCAAAGAAAGTCTCATTTTAATTCAGTCATTTAATACTCTTTGCAAATCGCCCGATCACTGAGAAATTCTTGAGCAAACCATCTTAAGACAAAAATAGAGGCAGAGAGAAGAAAGTACGGAATGACTGAGTTCTGACATTGCAACATCTCTAACCCCCAACTGACCCATCAGACTCGCAGCTCTCTTTAGGCTCCTCCCCTCAAAATTAAAAACAGCGCACCCCCATCATGCTTCATGTGCTCTCACTCACCTAACTATGAAGCCGATCAGAGAAAAATGTAGCCCGTCGCAGTAGGAATTGGATGTGCTTCTTTTTACAGGGTTCACGTTAAGGAAAAATCGTACATATAGAAACAAGAGGTGACGCTGTCATTAACCCAAGATAACGATTCTGCTGTGGAAGAGACGTGTTATGATGTGCTTTGGTGTGTTCACAGCAGGGAGATTTTTATCTCTGCCGATCCAGTTTATGAATGACATAGGAAACTTAAGAAAGATTCACATTTCACCCACTCTCCCTGCAAACATATTTATCCTTGAGATGAAAAATCGCTGTTGAAGCCCCAGCCACCAGTCACCCTCCGCACCTTTTCCATGAATAATTTTTCCAAAATGTCTGCTTGTAGGACCAAGATTCGGAATTTCACGGTAAACTACAGAGAGACACACACGGAGTGCACAGCACACCCCCTCTTAGCCAGAGAGAGACAAAGAGATGAGAAAGGAACAACCAAAAGGAGACGCAGCTAACGTGCCGATGAAATAAAACAAATCCCCCAACAGCAAAGTGAAAGCGATGATTTAAAAAACACATAGAGACCGTGTTTGTAATTACCCATCCAGGTTTTGTTTTCACCGCTTCCAGGCAGAGAAACGGCTGAAGTTTTGCGCCCCTCTGATTGTGATGGGAGGGTTGTGTTTGAAGCTCTGGGCACGTAGAGATGGAATGAGAAGGAGGCTGAGCTGGAAGAAACACCAAGGGGGGAGGGAAGGGGGGAGAGGTAGAGAGAGAGAGAGAGCGCTATCTCAAGCTACGCCTTCCTCTAAGCTCTGGGAGCCCAGGAGAGCGCTCATTTTAGGATTTGGGGAGAGGGGTAAAAGAGGAGAAGCAGCCCCCGCTCTGCCCTAGCCTCGCTGCCCGCGAGGGGAGGAAGGACTCTGGCGGGCCGCCCTGCGAGCCCGGGCGCGCGCGGAGCGGGCCGCGCAGGGAGCTGTCCAGTTCAGCACCACCCGGTAATGCAGTAGGTGGGAGCGCCTCCGCCGGGGGCCGGGCCGGCAGGGAGGAGGGGGGCAGGCGGGCGGCCCATCCTGCAGCAAGACGCCGGCTCCCTTGTTTCCAGGAGCTTTGCAGATAGGGGGAGGGAAACCCGCCTCGATTCTCCCGGAGAAACCCCCTCCCTCCCCCACTTCGCCAACACTACCCCCGCCACCAACAACAATAACCGCCGCCGCTGCTCGTCCTGCCGCCGCCGCTGCGCCTGCCCGCCCTGCTGCTGCCGCCGCTGCCGCTGCTGGGGCAAAACCATGGAAGGCGAGACCCCCGCACCTGTTCAGCTGAGAGCAAGGGCTTACAGAATACTGGGAAGTCTGGTCTGAAACGAAAGCGCTCGAGACCCCCCAAGGAAGAGAACTGGCGAAGCAAAGGATTTTCATGGCGCAGGCCGCAGAGCCGAGAACGAAGACGGAAGGTTGCATCTCGGCTTTTACAATCTCTAACTGTCTAGGTCCCGACCATGAGAGACTGTGTTGAGAATGCGGCTGTTCCCTGGTTCACTGTGGAAGCCATCTCCAAATTAGCTATCACATATGGAAACTGGAGACCAGAATTTTAGGAAAAGAGATTAAGGCATCTCACTTGGGGGGAGGGTGGGGGGTGTCTTTTATTTATTTTTTCTTTCTTGTTTTCTTTTTTCTTTTCTTTTCTTTTTTTTTTTTTTTACAAAAAAACCACTGCAACTGGAACAGTTTCTGATCTCAAAAGGCAAGCCTCTCTTCCTGTGTGGTCTTTATAATTTACACTTTTTTCGTGAGCTTCCTTACCTCCCTTTTTTTATACCTCTCCACACTCTCTATTCACACATATATTCATTATATTAGTAGTGGAATTATTTTTATTATTATTTTTTATTTTTATTTTTTGCTTTAGTACTTGCACCCTCACACACACTCTCCCGAGAACCAGAAGTCGGTTGGGTGTTTATATAATGAAGAATTATGGGGCTGTTTGATCGAGGTGTTCAAATGCTTTTAACCACCGTTGGTGCTTTCGCTGCCTTCAGTCTGATGACCATAGCTGTGGGAACCGACTATTGGCTCTACTCCAGAGGGGTTTGCAAGACCAAAAGTGTCAGTGAGAATGAAACCAGCAAAAAGAACGAGGAAGTTATGACCCATTCTGGATTATGGAGAACCTGCTGCCTAGAAGGTATTTGATTTCCCATCTCCTCCCCCTCTTCACCCCACCCCTCCCCTTCTCACTCCCCCTCCCCACCCTCCTCCAGATAAGTCCCCTTTACATTCCACCATTTTCTTACTTCACTCTTCCACCACAGATCAAGGGTGCTTGGGTTAGTTTCGGAGGAAAAGAAATCAATAAGCAAAAACCATACTCAACTCTCAAACCTCCATCACCCCCCCTTCCCCTAAACCTCTTCCCTGGAATAATCTGTGATATGATGAAAACAACCAGAGACTGTCTTTAAAAGTCAAGTGTGCTCGGCCGGCTTCGGAATCATTGGGATTTGCCGTTTGATGTAGACTGGCCATCTATGGGGGTGGTGGTGGGGGGGACTGTCTCTCTCAACACTGTTCCTCTTTTCATAGTGAAGAATTCAAAAATGCTCTTCCTTTCCCCCTTCCTCTCCTTACTCTCCAAAAGTCCCAGACACATCATCATCTGCAAATCTCATTTAAAAAAAAAAAAAATTCTGTTGTTTCTAAGAATCCTTATTTGGTAAATCCTAATTATTCCAGGATTTCGAGCTGAGTTCAAGAGCATTTCGTAATGTCTATGAGCCTCACGTATCGTTGGAGGCAACTGACTGTGTGTGTTTGTGTGTGTGTTAACGTTTACAAAGTCTAAAAATACATACGTCTCTCACAGGAAACAAGCCCAAGTTCTAATAAACAGCAATTCACTTGCGGGTTAGGCTGAGAACCAGTTCGCTTCCACGCAGAGTGACATGTCTGTTATCCAGAAGCGAGTAGAGTCAGCATTGCAGCCAGCTTGAGAGTCAGACATTGTGCTGGGAGGCCGGGAGGGAGGTGAGGGCATGGGGAGGT